TTAAAATAATAATAATAAAAAAATAATAAAAAAAAAAACTTCTAAAATTCTTAGATATTGGTTGTCGACTTTTTTTAATGTAAATGTTGATCTTTCAACAAAGATTACTCATTGTTGAACCATTTAAGTGTACTCCAATTCTACAAGTATTTAGATACTAAAGCTTGATATACTTTCACAAATTTTTTCTTTGATCAAGTCTACAAATTTCTCAGGATCATAAAAGACCTCATTGATCCTAAAATTCAAAAATTTGAAATCTTTACTTAATAAAACTCTCATATCCTTCAATCTAACCATTTTATTGATTTTAATTTTATAAATTATTTTTAAAACAAAAATATCAATAAAATCACAATAATTCACATACAAAATTGCTATTGTATATATAAATTCTTCAAATATGTAAGTCTTATTTTATTTTTCAAAATTGAAAACCAATTTATACATCTTTTATTTTGAAAAGCTCTCAAACACTCAATATGCATCTAAATTACTTAAAATCAAAGCTAAAATGATCCTTCTAAAGTTTTCTCTCACAATTTTCTCTTTAATCAACAAAAAAAAAAACTTATAATTGCTATAGGTATGTGCTTTTGTATCTTAGGATCTAATTTCAATCTTAATTCAAAATCAATCCACTTTGGATATTAATACTTGGTATCTTGAGGTAATTTTTAATATTAATTATTTTCAACTTCCTTCGAAAGAAGTCCATACTATTTCTTTTTTCATTTACTTTTTTTTGCTTTATTTATGACCTTACTAAGTAAGTAGAAGTTTTTTATATAAAAAAGCAAGATTAATATTAGAAGTATTTATTACTTTTCTATCTTTTATCTATATTTTTCTACTATATCTTTTAATTAGGCTCTTATATAATACAACTCATTTTATTAACTTTCACCATATAATTATATTACAATACAATATCATGAGTGATTTTAAAAAGACAAGAATCGTGGAATCTGGATTCTTAGTTTCATCTTAGTAAAGATAGAGGGATAGCGTTCCCATGGATTGATGTAGGTTCAATTTGGAGCTTTTTTAAATGAGGTATTAGGATTAGCAATAGGATTTCATCTAAACTTGATAGAAACATTATTTATGAAGCATAATGGATCTTCTTTGTAGTGAAATTGAATTTCTTTCAATGTTTTCTAATCTATAAAGCTTCAATCCTAAAGTAAATTACTTACATCTTTATATCTTTTGAACTAAATTTTTGTGAGTCTATAAGAATAACCTTTGTTGTTATTTTTATTAGCTCTTTGATTGCCTCTTGCACTTGTATTATTCAACTTACATAATTGGCTGTTGTTTTGATTATATAATTTGCCAACAAAAGCTCCTACTATTCTATTAGAGCTTTGCTTTGGTGAATAATTCTTTTTCAATAATAGATAATTCTTTTATTTCTTCAACTTAAGTTACTTATTAAGTTATAAGAATAGCTTGTACTTTGGCTTGTTGGTCAACTTTCCAAACTTCTTGCTTCACTTGTAAATTTTCTTTTTTCAATCCTCTTGTTTTCTTTCCTTACTTTCTAAATTTTTTATTAGCTTTTTTAATGTCTTTTTGAGCTTATGTGAGCTTCTCTTAGATTTCTTTAATTTCCACATTTAGTTCCTTTATTATAGTATCTAATTTTTTAATCTTTTTAAGGTTTTTCATTGTCTTTATTGATTTAGAGATTTTGATTCAATTGTTGGATGTGCCCACCCTTATGGCTCATTGTGTTAAAACTTCGTACAACTAACAATAGCTAATAAAGAGATAGTGAAGCATCATATGTGAACTTGCAAACAACTTCATTGAAGGTATAAATAAATAATTTTAGTGGTAAACCATTTTAGTCTTTTTAAGGTTATATAAATATGTATTTTTAATATGTAGCATTTAATAAAAATATAAGAAATATATATATATATATATATATATATATATATAATATTTAGCTTGAATTAAAATTACACCTATTTTTATTGAAGACTTAATACTATTAATCTTCTTAGTTGTATATTATTTGTAAATGTTTTATTTAAAATATTTAATTCTCCATATTGGTTCAAAATATTATATTAAAATTTATAATAATCAACCATATAAAACAACCATATTATTAAATCAATAATTGATAAAATTTGAAATAGTTGTGTAATAGACATTGTGATCATATTTATTTATGCATATTTTTATACCTTTGTATAGAAAGTTACAATTTAAAAAAATTCAATTCAACATCCATCTACATGTGTGCTTAAACAATAATTTTGATTCAATCCTTGGATGCATTCATATATTTGCCTAAAAACAATCACAACATGTGACCATAAAAGTATTCTCTGGATAATGAATGAATCTCGACGTCTTGTGAATAGTACTTTTTCAGTGAATTTCATAGAACACAAATATCTACATTTTCAAATTCCAAAATTCTTGACATGTGTGCCCTGCCGTCCTCATTGGACAAGCTTAACAATTTGCAGCGACATTCATGTCCAAAAGTCAAAAGGCAAGCGACGGAAAAGCCCCAACTCCCAACCCCTTCGCCTCAGTCAATCCGATCCCGCGGACGCAGACTCCCCCCGACACAGTTCAGTTGCCAGGGCCCATGTCTAGACTCACTCTCGTCTCGGTGAAGAACTGGGTGGCAGCTCAAGTCTGAATTACTATGTTGGCGCTCTTTGAGACGCCGGCGGGGTTCGCCCTTTTCAAGGTCCTGAACGAGGGCAAGCTCGATGCCTCCGAGATCGGTCAGCTTTCTCTCTTGGGTTTAGGTGTAGAATGCGGTGTTTGATTGTAGTTGAGGTTCTGAAGGTTGGCCATGGTGACAGTTGTGTGCGGTCTTGGTTTGATGGATGTTGATGCTGGGCTTCAATCGGGTGCAGGAATTATACAGGGAGTTCGAGACGCCGGACCTTGCACGAAAGGTACTTTATTTTTTTTCTTTTGTTTACTTGATTCTTCAGCTTGGTGGGAATCTGATGTAAAGGTTTAGGGCCAGGGTTGATGCTCAATGCTGACTAGTTGTTTGTGGGGTTCGTAGACGGTTAAGCTGAAAGCTTTTGACAAATTTGAGAATACCACCGATGCGCTGAATGCTGCGTCATACCTCGTGGATAGCAAGCTGCCCAAGGGCCTCTACAAGTTTCTCAAGAAAGAATGTCAAGGAGAGACTCTAGCTATTGCTGATTCTAAGCTCGGGAAGGTTATTAGTGACAAGCTGGTGAGTGTATATCTCTGTTCTTCTTTCATGGTTTTGGGCCAGGGGTTTAGGGTTTTAAGCGTTTGCATATTGTATTTGGTACGGTTTGGAGGCGTAATGCCCTTGCTTTCATATCCTGCTGCAGACCAAAATTTGACTGTACAGTGACGAATGTGTGTGCGAATAGGAAATCAACTGTCAACAATGCAGCCGTGGCGGAGCTGATGAGGGGCTTGAGGGTCACGATATGGCTCCCATGAGTCTTGGACTGTCCCACAGCTTATCGCGATACAAACTTAAGTTTAGCCCTGACAAAGTGGATACCATGATTGTGCAAACCATTGGGCTTTTAGACGATTTGGACAAGGAGCTAAATACGTATGCAATGAGAGTGCGTGAATGGTACGGATGGCACTTTCCTGAGCTTGCAAAAATTGTTCAAGCTAATGTGCAATACGCCAAATTAGTGAAGTTGATGGGCGGCCGGACAAACACCGCAGACCTCGACTTCTCTGGGGTGAGTGTTTGTACGTACCGCTTGGACTAATGCTATCAAAGACTACTTAGTCATCTACTTGATCTTAGTGTGTAGCTTAATGCGTTTGATGGACTTCCCATCATTTGCAATACTTTTTGACCCACTTATCTCAACAAATTTACAAAAAGCTGCTTCCACTTGTAATCCTGAACAGATATTACAAGAGGAGGTTGAGTCTGAAATGAAAGAAGCAGCAGTCATTTCTATGGGTACAGAAGTTAGCAATCATGATATGTTGAACATCAAGTCCCTGTGCGACCAAGTCATTGCACTCTGAGTACCGAGGCCAGCTTTTTGACTACTTGAGGAGTCGTATGAATGTTATTGCACCAAACCTTACTATTATGATAGGACACTGTACAGGAGCCCGCAGCGGAGCCAGCTACCGTACCAACTACAGAGGTTACACCCCAAGCAATGAAGAAAAAGAAATAGAAAGTTGTTATACAAACTCCCTACGCCACACCGCTACAGTGGCCGTGGCTGTGGCCGTCACACCAAAGCTCACGAAGTCTGGAAAGAAGAAGAGGAAAGCTGAAGCCGAGGCTGTAGCTGAGGCCACAGTGGAGGCAACCAACGGAACAGAGAAGAAGAAGAAAAAGAAAAAAGAACAAGGAAGAGTCTCCATAGAAGTAGCACTTTACAAGTAATAGTCAGCACAATGTTATTGTGCACTTGGAGCTAAACTGATGCCGATGGCTCAAACACTAATCCTATCTCCAAAAACCAAATGCACATATCCGGCTCTAGTAAATGTCAGCGTGCTCTGGCTAATTAAAAATCTACAGGCACCGAGATTTTGATCACAGAAAATAGGGTTAGTATTCTTAACTGAGACATGAGTAATCTTACCCCAGGTATGGTGATTTGGTCTGTGTCTGGACTCTATCAGAGAGCAGCCAGACCTACTTTTTGTATGTACATTATTTTAGGCTGCTCCAGAGGATTGTCTTTTATTTTTTATTTTTTATTTTTTTGTTTCCTTTATTCAAATTAAAACTCTTTTGTACTGGGTCTTGTGACCATGACATAGTTCATCGTAAGAGATTTTTTTCGAATCGTTAAATTCCTAAGCGCAGTCTTTTTCGTTGACAGGAAGCTTCACAAGTCTGAATACTTCAAAAAGAAGTAAATTTGGCCCAAATGGATTCCTTGTACTTCATGATTGGTAATTGTTTGTTGGTAATGGGAGGGAAAGCTGACTGTACAGCGAAGAAGGTAGTGCGCGTGTCTGCAGTTCATGTGACAATTGTGTGCAGTAATGGAACGAATTGGCATGTTGCGAGCTTTATTATTTTTATGGTTGTAATTTTTTGGTTCAGATGTGCCGTCAATGCAGCTGGACGCTTTAGACGTGATTTTAGAGCCATGAAATCCTATAACGATGTCTATTTTTGCAGCCGAGTGCATGATTGGATCTGTCCGATTGATGTCAGCTACTTACTATCGAGCCCATAAGTTACTGAAATTTTGAATCTTCAGGCTTTGGTGAAACTGCAGGACCGTATTTTGAAGAATATGGATCCAATTGAACCCAATCTCCTCCAAGCAAGGTGGAGTCTGTTACAATGAAAGAAGAGAACTCAGCATTAAAAAACATGATTGAACTTGATGAACCCAATCTGGATAAGGAAACAGGCAGAAGTACGCATGCTTATGAAAGGGATGTCGAATGTATTCATGGACTCGTGAATACTGACCTTGAATCCTGATCTCTTCTTCTAACTTTTCTGAATGAGCAGAACCTAATAGTCGTAATGGAAGTGACCACTACGAACTGTAGATGACAGCGAGAAGTTCATTATTTCTCCGGTGAATGATCCATGTCATTGCTGCACCTTATAGAAGGCAGACTCTACGTACTGAACTCGGCGTCGAACTATGTGGTATGGGTCTTGTTTGCAGCGGTTTTTTGTGTTGTAAGGAGTATGGTTGAAAGTTGAGTGCTGAGAAAAGCTTAGCGAACGGAAAGCCTGCGATCAACACAAGAAAATGTGGAACTTGAGAACAGTAAGCCGCAAGACCTGAGTGGTATAGCGCATCAAACTGTAGAGAGAAGGATGGTTTGAAATACACTTCCTCTTCTAAGTACCCAAGAAGAAAAAACTCCAACCAGGTTCGAAGGCCTGCCCCGCTGCTGTCTGTCCAATTACAATTGTTGATCTGGTCCTTTCCTGTCCTGGGTGAAGAAATCCTGGCTTGTAGATTGCAGCACTATCTTGCATTTCACGTGAACCATATTTCTTGGGGACACTGCTCAACTGCCGAAGTTTGAAGGCCTTAATATGACATTGCTTCCGGGGAACTACAACAGGCACATGAGAGGGAAACATAAGCTGTTCCGAGTTTCTGCACATCTCATGAGCCTTTGAAGTTGCTTGGGAGCATTACCAATCCCACATCAAGCCAGATGATTTAGCCCTAGTTAATATCAAAAGAAAATCACATGAGAAAACAGATAATTGTTCTCCATGATGGTGTTAGCGCATTACAATGTAAAGTCCTCATCAATGGCTTTGGTCTTACAGCACAATCAAAAGAGAGGTCTCCGGAGTTGGGCACTAGTGTTAAGTCCAGCAAAAAATGATGTTTTCTAGAAATTCTTGACCAAGGTATAGTCGCGTCGCAGAAACTTGCTTGATCTTCAGATCTGCATCTCCACACAAAATGACCCGTAAAGCTAGAGATTGGTGAAAGCCCCATTCGAGCACAGTTGAATCGTAAGCCCACTTTCTAGTATTCTTTTTCACCTCAAACTTCAACTTTCGGGGAATGGAATCAAAGTAACATCCATAAACTGTGATTTAACTAAATATCCTCCATCGCAAAATCCAGAGGAGATTCTTCAACGGCAAAGATTTGTTGGGAGCTGAAGTTGTGTACTGAAGTCATGGAGGTTTGAGGGCACATACTACAAACCAAAACAATGTCTCAGTGACCTCACAACACCAAAGACTTAGTTAAGTCGATGAGCAACAATTGTGCATATGGGTAAGAGTGATCAAGAAACTCACATCAGACAAAAATATACATCAGATTGATTAGACACGCCACCAAATCGAGAAAGATGAATCTTTGTAAGTGAACCTAGATTCCATTGTAGTCCTTTTCTGTGAGCTGAAAAGAACATTTCAAATGTAGCTGGGCGGAAGTATTCTCAAATGTAAGGCAGGCTCCTACGCAGCCTTGTCACAGAAAAAGAGTTGTTTATTCGACATCCTATGTGTGGTCAGCAAGCGCAGGCACATGAGCCAAGGCTCCCTCATTATTCACTCTAAGCTTTTAGGCGTCAGACTTCGAACCTGGGACAAGGGTCCAAGTCAATGCAGAACGTGCCCAAAACTAGCAAAGGAAAAAAATATATGTCTCAAAAGATTTTTGAAGATTTTACAAATATTAACAAAAACATTGCTGATAGTTTATAAGACCAATACAAAGATAATATATACTAATCTTGTATTTTAGATCCAAGATTTTTAAAAGCAAAAAATTCTAAACAAAAAAATATATATTTATAATAATAAATCTCATTTTATAAATATAAATAAATAAATATATCTTATATTGTTACCAATGAGAAACATGAATTGTCTTAAAATAAACCATAGAATCAAAGAATATTTTTTGCTAGCTAAAAATAAAATAAAATATCTAAAATAGATAAATTTCAACCATATAAAAATTTCAAAGACATAAATCTCAAAGAAAGAAAAATTTAATATACTCTTGTGTTACTCAAAAAGATTAGAAAGTCATTCAAACATAGTAATATATTAAACTAGAATGGCTATTGCTAAAGATAAAAAGACTATAAAGTCTTGAAATAAGACTAAAAACTAGAAAGGCATTGACAAGAGTAAAGAAGGCTTTATTCTTGCTTCTATATATACTATCTAATTAAGAGCTACATGGTAATATTCTATACAATCTTTAATATGTATTGACTTCGTAAGATACATGTCTTAACTTGTAAGGTAAGTTTTCTATATGTGCGCCACATAAATAGTTTTTTTTATAAGCTACCAACACATTGTTATATTACATGGTTTTCTATTTGGAAATACATTAGGTACCTAGCTGTAGAGAGTTTAATTTTAACTTATTGGCCAAGCTCCAATAAGTTATTTAACCTTTAAAGTAGAAGACAAATAAATACTATAATATCAAAAAAATATTGTACTAGTAAAATCTTTTACATTTGAAAAGGTTTGTACATAGGGCTTTTAAAAAATATCTAGGAATTCCCTAACATTCTTGGTTATTCTTGGTTACCAAATCATAATTAATCATTTGCTAGTAAGTTACATTTTCAATAATTCCAAAGAAAATCCATAATCTCTTCTCAAAAACTCATCTTTATATCAAAATTTAACCATAGCTCTATACATCCATCTTCAATATATATGTAAAGTCATGACTTCCAAAAAATCCCTTTACTTTGTATAAAATGCTCAATTTATAATAAAACTCCTTCAAAATATATTTTTCCCATATAGGTTTTCTTCTTCCCAAACTTTAGAAATTCATATCTCTCGATCTAACCATTTAGTTTTTGTCAAATTTAAAAATTATATAAAATTTACTTTTAAGCTTTATTTCAAAAATATTCAATTATAAATTTATTACCAATCGTTAGGTATCATAAAAACTCTAGCAAGTGCTTCAAACCCTAATTCACAAGCACTCGAGTACTATTTTCTTCATATCTCACAAATCCAAAACCTAAATACCACAAAATCTATATATAAAGTTTATTTACATTATTACACACATTCTTGGAAATTTTGAGCCAAAATCTCATCAAATTTCTCAAGATATAGCTCAAAACACAACCACTAGTGAATCAAGTCACTTACTACCCTTAGATTTTCAAGCACTGATTTCAACCTCCAATATCTCCTTCATCTGAACTTGAAATCCATCAAATAATATGCCAAAACTATAGCCAAGAAAGTACTTTCTCCAATCCTAGTTTCCGATCCTTTGTTGCTTTCTATACACGTGCATTATATCCAAAAAAGTGACAATTGGTACAAAATTGATACCTCGACTTTGAGCACCTATATCTTCTTCATAAAAACTCCAATTGACTCAAAATTTATACCAAAACCATAGAAAAAAATTTGAACTTGCTGATTCTAGCCTCCAAAAGCTTGAATGGCTCGAAAGTGTAATCCTAATCCCTAATATGGCCTCGGGCAGCCTCCTTGAAGCCCATTGGTCATGATTTTTGACCAATAGGAATGGAGATTTATATTATCCATCTGCATTCATCTATATGGATATGCTAAACTCACTTTTTACTTCCAAAATCTCTCTCGAACTCTTTTTTTTATAAGATTTATATAATATATGCCCTAAACACCATATAAAATAAAATAAAAATAAGACTTTAAGGATCACTAATATCTAACAAAGGTGATTCTAAATATTTAAAAGCTACTACTAATAAGATCAACTTCAAAAGTCACTATCAAAAGAAAATAAAGTTACATAAATTTTAATAGAAGCCCTTTTAAACAACTTCTTTTTGAGGTGGTAAGCTATTCACATCCTATAACTAACAAAAATCCACTAACATTGCTTTGATCATGTTGTCTAGTATATTGTGTATTAAATATATAAATCCATTATTTTTACATGGTAGCCGAACCACAATACGACAATGTATGACACATGGTTAACTTATTGACTAAGTTTTTAATGTATCAATCAACTACAAACACATGTAAAGTCTAAATTATATCTATGAAGCTTCTACAAAGCTTATTTGGAAGATATTATAGAATTAATTTATATTTATCTACTTCTATCTAATAATATAGATAATTATTATAGTAAATATATATATATATATCTATGATATTATTCTTCCTTTTAAAAATAAATTTTACATTTATTAATCATCATTTTTTATAAATTTTGTTATTCTTAATTTTAATTATTATAGATGTTGTCAATGAAAAGCTTTAACTTTCTTTGTTACATTTGTAAGATTCTTTGTCCGCTTCTATGTACATTCACTTATGTCATATCTAAACTAATAGACAAGATATTCTAATCTATTTTGATGCCGTCTTAAATCTAAGACTTCTTCTATCTCAAATTACTAATATTATCCATTTTTGTAGGAGGAGGTGGCATTTATATTTTTCTTAAGATATTTACTTTCTTATATGACTTAAAAAAGATATGTGGAATATAAGATGGATCTTTTTAGACTTCAATAGATATAATTAAAAATTAATAGAATTGAATTGTTCATAAATAGGAAAAGATTCAAACTTATAATAGTCTAACTTGACACAAGAACAAATAGTCTTAATATTGTGACAAAGTAATTATACCTTTTCATCTATGTTGAATTGTAGTTATTCCTTGCAATAGGCAACTACATTAATCTTTTGTTGTTCTTGAACTTCTTTTGACTAAATCTCTAACAAACAATTTATCAAATCTTCTATCATATAATTATCAACTTTTGAAAAGTCAAAAGTATCAAATTGTGGATGATAATCATAATTGGAAAAAAGAAAAGTATTTATTGAATTGAAGAATGTACCAAATTATTGTATGCAAATTTTGCTAATAGCAAAAGAGTTGCCCAATCATCTTGATGATAATTGATAGTACATCCCAAATATTGTTCTAAAACTTGATTCATTCGTTTTGTTTGTCTATCATTTTGAGTACAAAAATTGAAGAAAGCTTTATATCCACCTTTAAAATCTTAAATAAGATTCTCTAAAATCTTAATACAAATTGAATCTTTCTATCCAATATAATATCCTTCCACAATCTATGATAGAATGTTATGGTATTGTATTATAATTATTAATAGTAAATAAAAATTAACTAAAATATATAATATATTTATAAGTATTTATGTACATTATAATGATTAATAGGTTAATTTAAAGAAAATTGATGTAAGAAAATTTATTTTCAAATTTACTTATATTAATTATATAAGATTTAGATATTTAGTATAAAATTTAAAGAAAAGATTGGAATTGCCTTAATGAATCTTTGACATTATCTTTCAATCCATATCAAAACTGATTTGATAAGGGATTTGTTATTCCAATCTATATCACAAGCAAGATTTTGGAATTCAGTAGTACATATAGTGGCTGAATATGATCTTTATTATATAGATGTGAGTTTGGTCTCTGCTATTCTTTCATGATCACTTTCTTTAAATATAGCCATAAATACTTTTAAGAATAAATTCAAATCATAGAGTAATTGTGAATTTGTTTCCATCAAAGATACAAACTAAGATAGAGCACTTCTAGATAGAAGTGTATCTATGAATTCAAATTGAGTAAATGCATTAGAGTGTTAGAAAAGATGTAATCTTAAATAGTGCTTAACTTGTTGTAAAAATCTCCAAAATTTTGATCTTGTACCATCAAACTTCTCAAGCATATTAATCTTTACCTTTCTTGTACTTGTAGAAGCTACACTTTTATGAATTTGGTTGTAAGGCTAATCTACTTGCTTCCCTCAATTTTACAACTTTTTGGCATAGACTTTGGACTTCTTCCATAGGCATAGGAATAGTACCTTTATGATTCACATTGGAAATATATAAGATTTGTATTCTTAGAGTGTTGACAAGTTTATGAAGGTTTGCAATAGTTACAAATCTATTCTTACTTCTACTAAGAGTAGCATCCATATTCTTTTCTTCCATATATAATTCAAACAAATTCAAAAATTTGTTTTAGAGGAAAATAATCTACAACCTCTAATATTAAATAAAAAAAATTATAAGGAGGGATAATCCACTCTCTTTAAAAAAAAGACAATTGATATTTAAAAAACTAAACTATTTGTTTAAATGTGGATAGTCTACAATCTTCAAAATACAACAATAAAACTAGAATAATCTACTTATTTTCAAAAAAGACAAAAATAATAAGTTATGATTCTTATCAAACTATCAAAGATATGAACTTTAAAGAACTAAAAGATCAATACACTCTTGTGTCATTCAAAAAGACTAAAAAATCACTCAAAGATAATATAGTACAAACTTGATCGGCTATTGTCAAAGACAAGAAGACTAAAAAGTCTTGAAACAAGATTAAGGACTAGAAAGGCATTGATAAGAGT